TCTCGTACTCCCATTTGCTGGTCTCCGATAGGAGTCCAGGATGGTGGATCCGCACTGCGTTAGCTGGTAGTGGACCTCTGCATGAATCTCTCCTTGCTCTCCGTTCTCTGTCAGTTTTCTCACTCCATTTGGTGCTTGGCTGAGTTCTTTATCTCTTCATTTGATGTTTTAGGGTTTCAGGATGTTGTATTCTCTGTATGGCTTAGTTTTTTGGATCTTTGCTGTGGAGGGACGGCGTGGTGCTTCCGCCTAGAGCGCCATTTTGCCAGAACTCCCTAAATATTCTTTTATTATTAGATTTTTCCTTTCTATTAGCTTGTTGGTAGTGGTTAAGAGCTATGGCTGCTAACCAAAAGGTCGGCCTTTCGAGTCCACCAGCCTCTCCTTGGAAACCCTATGGGGCAGTTCTACTCTGTCCTGTAGGGTCACTATGAGTTAAAATCAACTCAACAGCAGAGGGTTTGTTTTTGGTTATTAGCTTGTTAGTTAAATAATCTTTCATTGTTTCTTTAGAGGTTATTCTAGAGATTGCAGCAGCATGTAGCCTTGAATTATTAAAGTTTAAATTAAAATAGTATATTGGTTTTAAAAAGGTGGGAATGCAGTTATTTAAACTTTATACTTCCCTTAATTTTTTCAAACCAATTTTTCTCATTGTCCATATAGTTCATACACAGTGTTATTATGTACATCATTTATATACAACTGCAGAATGAACTTAGAGTTGTTTAGACTTCCTTTACAAGTATACATGAACATCTTGTTTAGAAGTACTATGGATGATTTTACTCTTTCACCGTAATAAAAATATTTTGACAGCCAAGCTTGTGGCAAACAAATGTTCATCGTCACTGGCTTAAAAGAAAGTAACATCTCCAGGTACTCAGTTGGAGGGGATTGTGTTTGTTCAGAAAGCATAGCTGTCCATATATGTTGAATATTAAGATATGGCTCTAGTGTTTGAGTAAATAAAGAACAGATTTTTCTCTTCCATCATTAACCTGTCCTGCTCCAAAATAGCTGCTGAATCTGGGAATAATCTCCAGTGTCAAGTGCTGTTTCAAGGAAGCAGAAAACTTAAAAAACAAAACTAAGACTATCCGAAGAGTAAAAGCAAACATCAAACAGATGCTAATCTTTTAATAATTGAAAAGTCATTGTAACAACATTAAAGAATTTTGAAGAGGGAAAAAGATTCATAATCTCACTACCACCAAGAGTTGTTTTCATTTTTTATATAATACTTTCAAGTCGCTATGCATACAAATTTTTATATAATTATAGTCACCATTTTGTATTTTTTACTCAATATTATGTCAGATATTTTTCTACATTTTAAATAATTATTCATCTTTTTGATAGCCTTGTAGCATTATTTTAATGATTTTATTAAAGGTGCTTTCTTTAAACATGAGTAGAAGAACCTAAACAGTTGAGAGAGTAGCTAATTGTTCAGTGTAGTTGTAGATATAAACATAGGAAGCAAGTAAACTAAAAGATTTTGCTTGCTGGCAGTTTTTAGTTATAATTAAAATCCAGTTTTCAATGAAGTTCTCTATCCATTTAGCTGTGGCTATTTTACCTACTTTAGATTATAAGTTATACTTTTCATACAGGATATCCTTCTATCTGTATCTGTACCAGATGAATGAATTTCAGAAGTACAGATTTTATTTTTTGCTTTGAAATTACCATCTAATTCTTTATTATTTCCTGTTCTTCAAAAAATATTTTAGTATGCGATACAATAAAACATAATTAGGAAGGAAAATCTGCTTGAAAATTATAGGTCCTTTGGGGGTTAACCACATAAACCATAGTAGGCACAATTGAGAGAGGCTGAGTCCTCAAATAGACTTCTTTCTCAAGGAGGTCATCTAAGTTGTATCATACATTTTGTTGTTAGTTGCTGTTGCATCACTCTGACTCATAGTGATCTTATGTATAACAGAACAAAATATTGCCCAGTCCTGTGCCGTCTTAACGACTGTTGGTATGTTTGAGTCCATTGTCTTGGCCACTGTGTTAATCCATCTCTTTGAGGATTTCTCTCATTTTCATTGGCCCTGTACCAAACATGATGTTCTCTTCTAGTGACTGGTCTTTCTTGATGATGTGTCCAAAGTAAATAAGTCGATGTCTTGCCATCCTTGCTTCTAAGGAACATTCTGGTTATGTTTCTTCTAAGACTGATTTGTTTGTTTGTCAGTATTCTTTGAATATTCTTCAATATTTGTTTATTCAGTATTCTTCCCCAACACTATAGTTTGAATGCATCAATTCTTCTGTCTTTCTTTTTCACTGTCCAACTTTCATATGCATATGAGGTGATTGAAGAGACCATGGCATGGGTCAGACATGACTTAAAGTCATCAAATGATACCTTTGGCTTTTAAAATTTTAAAGAAATCCTTTGTGGCTGATTTGCAAAACAAACAAACAAACAAAAATACCCTATACCACATATACCTTAGGATTTCTGTTTACCATTGCTTTAAAGTTTTAAAAAGTAGCTATGGGAGTTTAACACAGTTTGAAGCCAGGCTATTTTAAATTTACTCTGTTTATTATTTAGTAATACTTTTAGAAGCTTATAATAAAACACTGTTGCAATGAAGAACTTGGGATTAAAAAAAAAAAAGTCCGTTAGGCTTCTGTAACCAGTTTACTTCCCAAGAATTTGCATGTATTATTTATGTAAGAGGAAGGAGGCACTGTTAGCTATTTTTGTTATACCTTTAAATTTTCTTATTTCTTACCCTTTGTTTGTGTGTTGTGTTCTGGAACAGCACAGACATGCCAAAAAACAACAAACTAGAAGGGAGCAAATAAAAATCTAGTGTATTCAATAGACTACATAAGTATAGATGTACTCATTAATCTTTTCTAGTTATCAGGATGTTAGTGGGTGATATGTAAAAGGCACAGTAAGTCATAATTTTTTCCTACACATATTACATTTATATATATGTGTGTATGAATGATATATGAATGAATGAACGAAATTCAAATATGGGCATGATTAAGTGCCAGGAGTGCTGTCAAAGAGATGAGATCAGTATTGGGTGAGTGATAGGGCACATCTTTAAGAATATAGAGGGGATTTGAGCTAGGCCCTAAAGGATCAATAAGAGAAGAGAGAGTTGGGGGGAAAAAAAAAGGATAATCTTTTTTTCCTCCATTTCAGGCTGGCTTACAGTTGGACCGACTCTTACGAATAGCAACTACAATGCAGAAACATATGCATCCTACTTCAGCGCCCCTAATTCCTACTTGACTGGATGCACAGAAGAGATTGAGAGACTTCGACCAAAATCACCTCCTCCCAAATCTAAATCTGATCGGGGAGGTGGAGCTCCCAGGGGTGGAGGAAGAGGTGGAACTTCTGCTGGCCGTGGACGAGAAAGAAATCGATCCAACTTCCGAGGAGAAAGAGGTGGCTTTAGAGGGGGCCGTGGAGGAGCACACAGGGGTGGCTTTCCGCCTCGGTAATTTCTGTAGATACTGATCCTGTTAATGGCCCTCTCCCTTCCTTATTTCATTTTGAAGAACTCAGTTCCAACTTGCATGTGGCTTTTAGTTACTCTAAGCTGCAGGCATATCTTAGCCAGCTTCCCTTGCAGTTGTCACACACACTGTCAAGTTTTTTCCAGGATAAACAAGTGATCCTGCCCTCTGTCATGTGCATGTAACTGAACAGAATGGAGCACAAATGCCTTTACCTTCAGAGACTGAGTTTATTCCTACTAATTACAAAGACTTTTGCTTTTTAGAAGGAGTTGAAGTAAACAGTGAAAAGGCTGAATCTGTAGTATGGTATTAGTGCTGCTGAAGATGAGAGACTGTGCATCCTGCCACTGCTGTCACAGCACGTGGGAAGCCGTTGGGAGCCTGGGTAGAATAGAGTTGGGACAGATGGTAAGCTTCTGCCAGAGTTGTAACATTTTCTTGACGAAGCAATAAAAAGAGGTAGACTTCTTTTTACTTGTACAAATTCATATATAATTTGAGTATTTTGGCATACTTAAAAGAACAAAAACCCAAAAAGCTCATCATCATAATCTCAGTTGTATAACTACAGATGACTCTTAATCACGTTTCCTATGAAGCAGACAAGGACAAATATCCAAGTGCCAGGACTTTGGTGCGGACTTGAACATGGATTGACCTTTGAAGCAGTTTCATATTCCTTAGCAAAATAAAAATAACAGGGACACCTGGTTATCCGGTGCTTGCTTTAAACATTTTAGGGAATACAGTACTTAGTGATAAAGAAATGACGTATATCTTTAAACTTAGTACGGAGAAAACTTAATGTAAAACCAATTAGAGGAAACCCTCAAGAATACAGCTTGGAAAATGGAACTACAATTGCCTTTTATTAAAAGCATATTGTGTGGCATTTGTTTTTAAGGGATTGGTTTTGCAGATCTGTTAGTTATATAAGACTTTATGCCATTATTTCTCTTTCTGTACTGTAACTCATGTTTTCAGTGAATTTGTTGAATGAAGTATTCTTGATGAATACATTTTTTATTTCATGTATGATTTTTCTAATGAAACTTCAGACCTTTGAAATTTGGGAGTCTGTTTTCTATAAGTAGAATTTCTGTTGTTACCAAATGAAAAAAGGATTGACATAAAATCAAGCTCTTTTGGTCTGTGATGCATTGTGGTGGCTGTTCTGTCATACTGTACCTAAGAGTAGGTTATATTACACCCGCTGAAGACCAAGTTTGAAGATAAAGTTGAATTCTAGAAATAGAGTTGAGATCTTTAAAAGCCTGAAGAATTTAACAGTTTGCTCAAGTTGTTAAGTACTTTCTAATACAGATAGCATTTGACTGACATGTTCCTTGATATAGATACTGTGTATCACAGTTAGATATCTTGCTGAAATGATGCTGTGTTTTCGACTTCGGTAATTACAAATTATCTAGAAGGAGCATTGTATCAAAGAGGATAGAGGGACATTCCTGTTGCACACTGATGGGTCCTTAGGAGTGTCAGCTGAGGAGTGACTGTGTCCCATGCATAGGACTCCGGTTTGTTCTGCACTCCTGGGCAGAGGCGAGGGAAGGTGACATTGCTAGTGCTTACCTGGCCTAGGCACCGTGAGATCTGAATCATAGATCATCTTCTAGAGAGTTAGGAATGGCTTCTTTGTAGGTTGAAAGTAGAGGGGAGCCACTGCCCACCATGTTTAGAAAAGAGCAAATAAAAGAGAGGGTGGTGGGAAAAGAATGCAAGGCCCTGAATTTATCCCTTTGACAATGTACTTTTACCTTCAAGTTAACAGAGGAGGAATTGTCTGTCACTCGCTTTGCTACCCTTTACTTTTGGTAAAGATTGGGGTAGGTATCATTTCTACAATAGAATATTTATTCATTGAGGAAAGGTTTCTAATGAAAATTCATCATGACTTCTGATCCTCTCTCTGTTTACATGTCTTACATCTTCAAAAAATTATCTAGGAATCACCAATAATGAACTAATTGTAGCTGCTTCACTTACTGCTTGCATAATACGTATAGTATGGAATATTATATGTATACATATGGGGATAGAAGCTAATAATTCTAGAATAACCCTAAATTTTTCGGTTTAGGAATTCTAAGATCAGCATACCTAAGATTATAATATAGAATTACAGTTCTAGGTATTACAAGACCAAGTGAGCTGTTCTCCCAGTTACTTTCCTCCTTTCAGAGGGTGGGGAATGGGAGGCCTAAAGTGCGGCCTAAATAGGAATCCTTTTCTCTTTCACTGGAGAATATGAAAGGGAAGAGACTGATGATGTCAGGTAGAACAGATCTTGTGGTGAGGAAGCTAATACCCAAACACAGCTGAACCAGATTAGACTGAGGCATCATGGAGCCTGCAGTCAAGGGTAGAAGGGTCACCATGAAGCAGCATAGAGTGAGAGGGCATAGTGTCCCTTGGGAAGTGAGAGTCAAGCCTGGAGCCAGATGTGGTTGCCAGGGCATACCTCCAGAGATGGAATGGATCAGTCCTGCAGCAGCAGTATGTTGTTCTGTTACCACTGGGTAGGGAGAGGAGCCGCCTTATGAGCTCTTAGCTCATTAAGTTAGAAATTTAAACTACAAAGCTCCCCTATACCAAAGCCAAGTCAGTGTTACACCATAGTTTCACTTTAAGTTACTGGAGCTGTAATGGTAAAGTGCCTAGGAGTTAGTATGCTATCAGTCATCTGAGATCCTTCTGTCAGGGCAGTTACTGGGAATTATTCGTTTTCATGTCTGTTAAAATACTTTCTACCCATCGTAGTTACTAAACTATAGCTTTCTGATTAGTTACAGCAGCTTATTTTAAAACCTGTACTATTTTCATTCGAATTTAAGAACATAAGATTTGGTCTTTGAAGTACAGTTCCAGATTTTACTAATTTGTTTTAATATAATCCTTATTGACTTGACAAAATGATAGCCCATTTGGGACTCATTGTAAACAGTAGTCTTTGATCTAAGAAGTATCTTGTATTTTTGTGAGCTATTAAAAACAAACCTTTGCCTGTAAGAAAGCCCTTTCTTAGTATGATTCTTCTAATCTTATGGTCCATGTAGGACTTTTAGGATTATCCTATCTTTGATGTTTGGCAGTATGGACTGAACTTACATGCAGTCAGTTTTTTGTTTGTTTTCTTTAAATTGTGCCTTAAGTGAAAGTTTACAGTTCATGTTAGTTTCTCATACAAAAATTTATACATCCCTATTTATACATGCCTATCCCTAAAGTGTGACAGCGCACTTCTCCCCCCCCCACCCCCCCGATTTCCCGTGTCCATTCAACCAGCTCCTATCCCTTTTTTGCCTTCTCATCTCGCCTCTGGACAGGAGCTGCCCATTTGGTCTTGTGTAGCTATCTGATTGAACTAAGAAGCACACTCTTCATGAGTATCATTTTATGTCTGTATAGTCCAGTCTAATCTTTGTCTGCAGAGTTGGGTTCAGAAATGGTTTTAGTTCTGAGTTAACAGTCCGGAGGCCATGTCTTCTGGGGTTCCTCCAGTCTCAGACCATTAAGTCTGGTCTTTTTACTAGAATTTGAGTTCTGCACCCTACTTTTCTCCTGCTCCATCAGGGACTCTCTCATTGGTGGTAGCTGGGCACCATCTAGTTCTTCTGGTCTCAGGCTGATGGAGTCTCTGGTTTATGTGGCCCCTTTTTGTCTCTTAGGCTAATATTTTCCTTGTGTCCTTGGTATTCTTCATTTTCCTTTGCTCCAGGTGAGTTGGGACCAATTGATGCATCTTAGATGGCCACTCGCTTGCTTTTAAGACCCCAGCGGCCACTCACCAAAGTGGGATGCAGAACATTTTCTTAATAAACTTTGTTATGCCAGTTGACCTAGATATCCCCTGAAACCATGGTCACCAGACCCCCTCCCCGTGCAGTCATTTTTGAAGCTATAAATCTGAGGACTTTCCAAAAGATTAGAACATTTACGTAGTAAATTGAGTCCATTGAAAACAGCCCCATTCCTGGATCTTGAAATATTTGGAAACTCCACATTGGTTCTGCTCTCAATGCCTCCATCATTTACTCAGATCAATACGGTGCGCAGAGGGGAAAAACAAAAACGAAACCCACATCCAATTTTATCTAGATCATTTGGACATCCTTTTCCAGGAAACCTGTTTTCTAGGATTGGACAGTATGGTAAAAATGATTGGTTTGCATATTGGTTATAGTTTTTACCTCTCTAGCTGGAGGTACTAATCGATAGTAAACTCAGAAAAGGTAGGTTTTTCCAAAAATACTAAATAATTGAGAATCCAGAGGTCAACAGTGTACAGTGCATACAGGAACCAAGCATATAACATAAACCAGCGAAGCAGGCTAGGTGTTTATTTTAAAATGGAGTAATTGTCTTTTTTAGACACATTTTGTTTGCATATTAAATAGACGGGAATATTTACTTTCACTCATTTACATGCTCCCATTTGTATTGAAATACACAACCCTCTTGTCTACGCTGTTTTCCCATGTGGGTGAGTTTTCCCACTTGGGAGCAGCACAGAGAGGCCAGGGAGATTCTGCAGGGAGGGGTGGGCACAGGCCCTGTAAGGGTGTAAGGTGGACATCACTCGTCAGCTCCAGCTCATTGTCACCATGGAGGGATGAGGGCAGGTGTGACATTTTCATGTGAAATCGCCGTAAATTTCAGATGTTGACAATTAAAATAGTTTCCTTTGCTTAATACATTTCCCTTTCACAGAACTAAAGTTTCTTAAAATTAACATAGCTAACTATATTCTGCATGCATATTTTGAATTCTCTGGCCTCTAAACACATCTGGCCAACTAGGTGGCAACTAACAACAACAAATACTATGGAACCAACTTTACTCATGAAGAAGGGGACAAAGCTTGAAACAGGAAACCATCACCTTTGAAAGAATATGGTTGGCAGAATTTAGAACAAATATGGTTGAAGATGTGGATGAATACTTTTAAAATTGCATGCATGATGTGACTAAAAAATGTAGATGTGCAGGCCTGTATTGTCACATAGCACACCTTCTGCCAGGTCCAGCACCTACACGAGTTATTAATGTGCATAAACGAATGACTACCCTATTCTGTGTTTTTCATGTTTTTTTGTTTTCATTGTCATTTTGAGAGTGAAGGACAAATAATCAAAATTAAACACAATTTTGATCAGAGATACCCAGTTTAACAGTTTATGCTGGTTAAACCACCAAAAATAAAATACCTTGTGGAATTTCTGTCATTTTATAGGTTTATGCTTTCGAAGACAACTTCTGGGTAGGTATGTACTTTAACATTTAGTTAATGTAGTGTTTTCTAGGTAAGAATATTGTCCATCATTAAGGTAAGCTATGATAAACCAGGAAAAAAAAATAAAACAGTCCCGTTGGCCTTTGAGTCGATTCCGACTCATGGCAACCCTATGTGTTTCAGAGTAGAACTGTGCTTCATAGGGTTTTCAAGGTTGTGACCTTTCACAATCACATTGCCAGGCCTTCTGAGATGCCTCTGGATGGATTTGAACTGCCAATCTTTAGGGACTCCAGGGACTTCAAGCTACAGTTTGGCCTTGTGTAAGAAGCTAGGCTTAAATCGGCATGGTAAATGGGAGTTCAAGATTATAGTTTAATTTTCTGTTATGTCTAATTGAAAAAAAATTTAAATGCATATAAGCATGATTAAGGATACTGCATTAATAAAAATAATTCCAGAGCAAAATTTAAGAAAATGTAAGCATAAATGTAGGGGGCAGTGGTGGTTCAGTAGTAGAATTCTCACCTTCCATGTGGGAGGCCTGGGTTTGATTCTTGGCCAGTGCACTTGATGGACAGCCATCGCCCGCCTGTCATTGGAGGCTTGCATGTTGCTATGATGCTGGACAGGTTTAAGTGGAGCTGGACTAAGAAGAAAAGTCTGGCAATCTACTTCCAAAAAGGAGCCAGTGAAAACCCTACGGATCACAACGTTCTGATCTGCAACCGTCATGGGAAAGGCACAGAACGGGGCAGCGTTTCCTTTAGCTGTACGTGGAGTTGCCATGAGTCAGAGGCCGACTAAATGGCAGCCAACAACAACAACCAAGTAAACCAAATCCGCTGCTGAAGAGTTGATTCCAACTCAGGGCTACTCCATGTGTTACAGATTACAGTTACTTCATAAGGTTTTCTTGGCTTTAATCTTTACAGAAGCAGATTGCCAACCCTTTCTTCCAGGGTGCCACTGGGTGGGTTTGAACCGCCAACCTTTAGGTTAGTAGTCAAGAACAAACCTTTTGCGCCACCCAGGGATCTTTTGAATAACAACAAGAAGCATAAGTGTAAGCTTGTCAGTCAACAACAGCTCCGTAATTCTTAAGTCTCGACTTCTTCCTGAGCTGCTGTTGACAAGACACTGAATTGGGATGGCATGAGAATGTCCTTGAGCAAGATTTTCACTTTTCACTGCTTTCATTTATCCTTGTTCAAGTAAAGGCTTGCCATTCCATGTGAATCCTGCCTGTGCCTACTAATCTAGTCCTGAACTTACTACATGGGTGCTTGGGCTCTTAGGACTTAGTCTTTGTCATTTACCTTATAAAGGCAGTGGCATTCCTTCTCAACTCCTAATGTATGGCATATACAGTGAAACCTGTGAGAGCCAGAACTTGATGGGGACTGCTTTGTTTTTCCGGGTCGCAACAAGTTCTCTACCTTTGACAGGGTGCAGTCTTATACTTTTCTGTTGCTCGTTTTTGTGGAAAATATTTGAGTTTTCCTTTTCTGGCAGGTTTCCGCTGTACACAGGTTCCAGCTTTCCCAGGTTTTACTACAGTAAGCATTTCATAGATATTCCCTTACTCCCTTGCTTGCTTAATAATTCCCAAAGGATTTTTAATATTCTCTTTTGAGTTCTTTGCCCTTCTGCTGATGCTTTCTTGCTGCATAAGATGGCTGTTTTTCTATTAAATCAGATATATTTTTTTCTCTAAATAAGAGAACATTATTCTTTAGAGGTCGAGGAAACCAAGTAATTTCCACTGAGTCATCATGTATCAGTGGTCTCTAACAGAGTCAACTTCCTCTGGTCTGACTTTAAAGGTACCCAACTTTCCTCAGGACATAAATTTTTAAATACTTTTCTGCCAAATGCAACCTATTAAATAAAGTGATTTAACCACTTCGGTTTCACCTTGTTTAATGATAGCCTAAGTAAAAAATTAGACTGCCTTGCTCTTCCAAGTAATAGTGGACCTAAGGGAGAGTAGATTGCCTGAGAGTGAGTAGGGGACAGGAGCAAAATTTCCAGAGCAAAATTTAAGAAAATGTAATCATAAATGTCGGGGGCAATGGTGGTTCAGTGGTAGAATTCTCACCTTGGAGGGTGGGTGTGGGGTGGCACCTGGCATTTTAGGAAGCTGCTGCTGATCAGTAACAATGCTTCTGGAGGGGATGACCTCACTGGGAAATAGCTGAGTGGTGCCAACTGGGACAGCAGGAGTCCTCATGTTCTCCCAAGCTCTCCACAGAAGCAGGAGACCATGGGGGGCTCTGACAAGTCATCGGTATAAACCAAAGATTGTGCCAGTCACGTACAGATAGAGATTCAGATTGCAAAATGTGATTTTTTTTTTTTTTTTGCACACCAGAGTTTGTTGCAGATTCATATCTGCTAAATCTAATTTCTCCTAATGCATGAATGTGAACTTTTTGCCACATAGGCGTATTTGGCCCCCAAAATATTGATTAGGTAACATTAACCTGGAGTCTGTGGGTGGTTCAAGCAGGCTAGTTGGCTGCTAACTGAAAGGTTGGAGGTTTAAGGTCACCCAGAGGTGCATTGGAAGAAAGGCCTGGTGATTTTACTTCTGAAAAATCAGCCATTGAAAACCCTATGGAGCACAGTTCTACTCTGAACATATATGGGGTCGTCATGAGTTAGAGCTGACTCAACAGCAACTGGTGATGGTGAACCGTTAATCCAAATCATGGGGTATCCTAAAACTATTTTCAAACATGAATAATATGTATTTAAAGCAAGTTTTCTATGGACCCCAGAAAAACCCCAGTTTGAAAAATACTGACTTAAAGTCTTATTCTCTAAAAGGTCTTACAATTTCAAATTATTGAATTTTTTTTTTAACTGGTAAAATTTAAAAAAATCAAAATAAAAATGGATACCTTGAAAATTCTTAGAAAACTCTTGTATTCTTGAGATTGCATCTGCAGTTACTATTATTTTATTGATAGTTTCCTTAACT